GGGCCTGACACTGCTTTTTGTTTTTGTCAATGCAACTCTGTATAACACACGTGCGGTTAGAAATGTCAAATATTTTGTAAATTTGGAAGAAAACAGACGATTTTCGTAGAAATTTAAAGCATTTCTATTTTAAATGATTTAAAAAATATACCAAAATGGATATCGTGAAGGAAGTGTTAGAAAAACAACAACGAACATTAGAAAAATACAAACCAATTACTGTAGATAAACATTTGGAAGTCCGGCTAGATGTTGGTTCTTTGATGTGCACTGACCCAAACGATTTAGATGAAAAAGGTCTAAGGTAAATAAATGATGTCCAGTGTTTTGGTACATCTAAATTGTAATAAAATCGTACAAATTATGTCTTGCTATTTACAGAAGTAACCGGGAGCAGTATTTGCTTGATCTTACTCGTGACAATACACAGTTGCTAATTAATGCAATATGGGAGGTGCCGGCTGAGCGTGTAGACGAATGCATCGTGGCGAAGCTGCCGGCGCCAGCAACTGTCTTGCCCCGCCTGCGTAAGGTACCTGGACCTAAGCCCTTGACAAAATGGGAAAAGTTCGCAAAAGAAAAAGGCATTAAAAAGAAAAAGACGGACAAGAAAAAATACGATGAAGTACTCGATGTAAGTTTAGGAGATTTATAAAGTTATACTTTTTCAGGTGTGATTTTTTAACTTTATCTTTGCAGAAATGGGTACCAACGTATGGATTCAAACGTGCAGATGCTGAAAAAGAAAAGGAATGGGTTTTGGAAGTACCTAAAAATGTTGATCCAAATGAAGATATGTTTCAGAAGAAAATCGACCTGCGTAATGAAAAAGTGGCTAAGAATGAGATACAACGCATGAAAAACATTGTTCGAGCAAGAAAGGTAGAGGTTCCTCGTGGAGGTTACTTCGGCCCAGAGGTAGCCTCCTCAGGGCAGTTGCTGACTGCAGTCACTGTAGCTAAGTCATCCACAGCCTCCGTAGGAAAATTCCAAGATAAATTGCCAAAGGAAAAAAAGGCGCGTGGTATCGGTGTGAAAGAACTGATACCTGGATCGAAACGTAAAGCTTCACATATTAGTGGCCAGCCTGAAAAGGAGGTTAATCTGGATTTGATCAAGAGTGTGCTTAACAAGAAACCAAAATATGACATTGAAAAGGCTATTTCTATACAAAAGAACGAAAATAAATTAGAGTATGATCAATTTTTAGATATTCAATAACTCAATGAACAATTATTATTTTTTATCTATTCTTTTAGGAGAGAAGCTAATCCAACTGATGCTGGAAAAAAAGTAAAGAAAGGAAAAGGAGGCAAAAAAGGAAAAGGTAATGGTAAAACTGGCAAGAAACCTAAAGGCGGGCGTGGACAGCGCGCGCCTGGAAAAAAGATTGCTGTGGGTAGGAAGAGGCGTTGAAAAATTTTGTACATACCCTAAACAATTTTATGTTTAAGTAAATATAAGATAATATAAAAACAACATAACAGTAATAATAACGATGCGTTTATTTATTTATTAAATACTTCAGTGAACAATATGCAATAGTTTTAATAATGTTGCACCATTACAACTCTACACTTTATTAAAATGCTTTTGTCCCGTATACTTATTCCTAATATCACAAGTGTATGGACTCAATCAACTTCTTGAACAACGTTTGAGAAGCTTTGCTTCAAATGTACTTATGAAATTTTTAACCTAGCAAAATATTTGAACGTATTCATAGTTTTGATGAGTAACGGGAATTAGCTGATCTTCTTAAAATGCTCGACCGTAGTTCCCCACGGGTGGAAGATCGGAGCGATGCGCCGGTTTGTGTTGAGCGGGCAAAACTTTGTGGTCTCACTTCTAAGTCGGTGCATTCATCCAATTTTTTTGCCAAACACGGGAAGTCCCATATGCTCTGCCCCCGTCCGAAGTCTTCACCATCTGTAAGCGTTTGAGGAAGATCATGATTAAGCGTTTCTGGCAGTAGTAAAGCCAGTATTCCGCCAATGATTCCTAGAACGCCCAAAATTACCAGTGGAAGGGCCGGGGAAACCTTTTCTAAATATACAACAAAGGGAGCTATAATGCTCGCAACATATCCCATAATGTGAATAAAAGCGACTCCTTGAGCTCGGACAACGGTAGGCAAAATTTCAGCAGCATATTGCAAACCAATATTGTATGAAATATTAACAAAGAAGCGACCCATAATAGCTAAAGAAGCAAAGTAAATTCCAGGTGGAACAAGTGTTGCGAGCAAACTGAAAATGCCACTGGCAATCATAGATCCACATGCCAACCAACGACGTCCCCATTTGTCTAGTATAAGCGTTAGGATAGTATCTGCTGGGAACTCTGTGAAGCAAGCTACGGTAAAGGTGAAAAATACGTTCACTCCCAGAGAGCTTACATTCCGTACATGACCGTCAAATACTAGCGAAATTGCCATCCAAATGACAATGAGTAGAATTGTGGTCCGTCGCAAACGGGGCGTTTTAAAAAGATCTAAAATTGAATAACTACTATTTTTAGACTCTTCTTGTTTCAATTTCAAGCAACTAGCACTAAAAGCTTGGTATGTATCCATGGGTACGTGTTTTCCATTCACTTTCTCGAGCCTCTTCAGTATAGATATAGCCTGTTCCACTTTGCCTTGCGATACAAGCCATCTGCAAAGGAAACTAATATTTAGCATCCCAAGAATTAAACAAAAGAACTTAAATATACATACATACCTTGCCGACTCTGGAATAACAAGGGGAGTTAACACAACCAAAATTAGTGGGGCAGAGGTGGCAATAGCAAACAACTTCCAGTTTGCAATAAAATAGGCAATCCAGGGTAATAAACAGGCTGCGGCCGTAAAAAATAAAGCTATTGACATGTTCGCCACAAATGTGCGATATCTAGGACCGACATATTCAAGTACTGAAATGAAAGAATTAATAAATAATTAATATGCAAGAAAGTATGTTATGTGAGTAAATGTCACTGTAATCTTAAATATATCGTTTAACAGGTAAATTATTTTTCTTCCAATCACCTACTTGAAGTCTATACTTTAAGGATGAGAGAAGCATTGTTTCCAAAACGTGCACAAGAACGAAAGTGAGAAAGAAAACTGTCGAAAACGTTCTCAATGGGAATTATATAAGAATTAAACCCTGTGGAATGTTTCCGAACAGAACAATACTTTCGGAATATATGTACAAAAGTTTTCGCAAAGTTCTGGCAAAAAAAAAAA